CTTCCTGTAGGTTAACGAAGTACTACAGTAATAATTTGAAGGAGAAGGGGGTTTTTATCGGAAGGTTTCCCCCTCATGTAAAATACCTATAAATAGAGTTTATAGCCACCTGCATGGGCCCATAGGGCGCCAAATCAGGGTAATGAAATCAAATTCAAATTCAAATAATAATAATAATAATAATAATAATAATAATAATAATAATAATAATAATAATAATAATAATAATAATAATAATAATAATAATAATAATAATAATAATAACACCTTAACAGGGCCCAGAGCAGCATAGCTATACAGATAAGAAGCGAACACATTGGGTTCAATTCCTATCTGCACAGAAGAAAAGTTCCGGGAGTAGACAGTTCACGATGCCAATGTGGATATCCGTCCCAAAATGTGAAGCATATGGTCATGGCCTGCACCAGCTGGGCCAAAGGAAGAGGAGAAATACTGAGAAAGGCAGAGAACCGGTCATTTGAGGCCATGATGAACAATCCCACAGATATTGCAAGGATAACTAGATGGATCCAGCAGGAAGGAAGGCTAGAGCAGTTTCGACTGACGCTTGAAGTCGAAGCCATGATGAGTGACAGAGAGGGCAGTAGGGGAGAGGTGATCTCCTGCCATAAATAAGGGAGTGGACGGTATCCACACTGGATAAAACAGTATTAGTGCACTTCGCGAAGGTAACACAAACTTAAAGTGTATATAAATTGAGAAGTTGAGGGGGTTTTTACCATAAAGGTTTCCTCCTATATAAATATTAGAGTTCGTAGACACCTGCATGGGCCATAAGGCGCCAAATCGGGCTAAATGAAATCAAATTCAAAAAAAAAAATAATAATAATAATAATAATAATAATAATAATAATAATAATAATAATAATAATAATAATAATAATAATAATAATAATAATAATAATAATAATAATAATAATAATAATAATAATAATAATAATAATAATAATAATAATAATAATAATAATAATAATAATAATAATAATAATAATAATAATAATAATAATAATAATAATAATAATAATAATAATAATAATAATAATAATAATAATAATAATAATAATAATAATAATAATAATAATAATAATAATAATAATAATAATAATAATAATAATAATAATAATAATAATAATAATAATAATAATAATAATAAGAAAAAACACCATTTTTGCCAGAAAGCTGCGCAGCCTTCCACGCTGCCCGTATCATCAATTTGACATCGTGATTCTTATTTTTACATCTTTATTACCCTCCTCTCATCTTTTCGCTTTCCGTGCTCCAACATGGCGAGTGTGGGTGCCGGTGTGGGTAAATCCAGCGGATTCGACGCGTCGCAAAATGCGACAATGGCACAATCAAACAACGGCGGCGGAGCGCAAACAGCTCCAAAGGATAAGAACCTGGAAATTTTAGGGAAACTATTGAAAAAGGTCAGACTAATCGTGATGGGAGAGGGGGATGAGGAGGACCTACCCTCAATGGAGGACGTGAACGAGGCCGTCAAGGCCTTCAACGCGCACAAAAGGGCCTGGACGGAAATGTCCCAGAAGAAGTCTCCTATCGAGGAGAGGATGATGGCGCTCGAGGAGGTTGTCAAAAAGAGCCTCGCGGATCCTGCTCGAAAAGCTGCACCAGCAGTGGTTTCGGGCGCGCCGACACAAAGGAGCTACGCGTCGGTCGTGGCTCCGCAAATGACGAAAACAGCGGTTAGGATAAGAATCGATGGCGCACAAAACCTGCAGCCACAAGAGCTGCTCTCAAAGGCACAGCAACACATTCAAGGCGCATTTGCAATTCGACAGATGCGTAGCAACGACACCGAGGTGTTTGTCCAGTCGGCGTCCCAGAGAGACGCGGCGCTTAACATGCGACAACCAAGCGAATTCAAAATTTTGCGGCAAGACTTTCCTGTTGAGGTTTCCGGAGTCCCACTGCGGACAAGAATTGAGGGTGGCAGAGATGCCAACAACTACGCCATCATCAGGGAGATTGAGACGGCGACCAAGGCACGTATTCCAGGCCTGGTAATTAGCAGAATACGATGGCTACATGATGGAAAGGAACATCAGCGATCAAAGAAAAACGGTCGGAATCGTGGTTCAATTGTGGTAAGCCTCCCATCGGAGGCAATGCAGACGGAAGTAGTTCGACAGGGCCTTGTCATTAACGCCATGCTCTTCACCGCGCAGGTATGGTCGCCAAGGGCTCAGCCAAAGCAGTGTTACAACTGCAGCCAGTGGGGACACACGCAGGCGTCGTGTGGAAAGGCAGCCAGGTGCGGTGAGTGCGCTGGCGCTCACCAAACTCGGGACTGTCCGAGGAAAAGGGTTTCTTGTGCGAACTGCGGCAAGGAACATCGTTCGTGGCAGAAAGCAGCGTGTCGGACCTACCAGGTTTACAAGGGTAGTGTGGAGAAAGCTCGGATGGAGCTGTTGTCAAGAACGGCGGAAATATGGAACGAAAAACCTACAGTGGCGCCAATGCGAACAGTCGGAACGACTGATGATCAGGGATTTACTTTGGTCACCAGTAAAAAGGCTGAAGTACTCAAAAGAGGGCCAGGACGACCGCGTAAGGTAGTCGAAGCACCAGTGGCACCAACAATCCCCGCCACAACAGCACCACCATCGGGGCCAACTCTTCGAACACTTCGAAGACCAACGCCGAGTGAGGAGGTGCGTTCTCTTTTCAATTTCTCATAAAGTTAGTCTGATCGAAGGGGGAGTTAACGAATTTTGGGGAAAGTTTATAAAATTGCGGTTGAAAGGAACGTCCTCAGCATTAAGCCGGGTCGGTTCAAAGTGGCAGGACATCGGGTTTTGTTTGTTGAAAGCTTTTTCCCTTACCAAAGCGGCTTACCGTCTTCATGGTTCTGTATATAGATACCGCATAGGACGTTAAACGAGACTAATTCAATTCAATTCAATAATAAAAACTTCCCAGAAGAGGAAGAGAAGATTTTAGAGCACATAATAGAAGAGCAGACCTTGCATACTGGAAAGAGGTTTGCGGAGAGGAGAAATCCAAGGACTTACAAAAAGAAGCGATAAGAGTTGCAGCGTACCTAGAATGGGCGAAATCTTGGTCAGCCACAAAGCGAACTCGACAGCCTAAAAGATTTGCTTCAGCAGATCCTAAAGCTTGGGCAGCAGCAAAGTTTTACCAATGCCGCCATTCTGGACGTACAAAAATAAGCTTCCGGGAATCGCCATTTTCTCTCCACAAAAACCTGACGAGGGCCCAAAGTAGCTTAGCAATCCAAATTCGAAGCGAGCATATTGGGCTCAATTCGTATTTGCATAGAAGAAAAATACCAGGAGTCTACAATCCATGCTGTCCGTGTGGCTACCAATCACAAAATCCCAAGCACATGATCATGTCCTGCCCTAAGTGGTCAATTGGTAGAGGAGAAATCTGGAGATAAGCTCGAAATGGATCCTTTGAAGCAACGATCAACAATCCTAACGATGTGGAAAGAATCACACGATGGATTCTTAATCATGGTTGGATAGAATAATTCCGTATGACAAATGCAGTCGAAGTGCTGCTCAGGGAACGAGACGGAATATGTACAAGGTTGGGGTCGATAGAAGGGACGTGATTGGTACACATTGACGGCGTTACAGTGTAACTGTACTTTCTGAGAGATAAATTCCAAGCTCTAAGAATCAAGTCAGGAAGCTTGGAGGGTTTTCACCGATAGGTTCCTTCCCATGTAAATATATAGATAGATTTATAGCCACCCGCATGGGCCCATAAGTCGCCAATTCAGAATAATGAATACAAATCAAATGTCACAGCCAATTTCTGGCACGCGTCTAAATTTAGATTCCAAGAGATTATGTCAATCATAATCAGAGTATGTAGTCCCAATTAATTGTGAGAAATAGGAATTTAGCCGTTTTTACAGGATTATTTAATGTCGGAATACTTAAACACGGTGCAAATAACATAAACTGTAGGGGGATTATTCTCAACATCTATCAGTGGTGCCCTCTACGAACCTTCAGCTCTCACTGTAGAGTCGGCAGAGCCAATATTGAGTAACAAAGTACTCACTTCGAAGAGGATTCCCAATCGCTTTCGCGGTCTGTATCGTCTTCATCTCTCAACGCATCCTCTTATCACCACTGTCACAAAGCTAGCCACGATCAGATCAGATGGTAGGGTCGGAGCACTGATCATCACTAACCCTTGATCATGGAGGAAAAGCCATTAGATGAGTTCGAAGCGTGCCCAGCATCCGATACGGCAATGGTGGATTGGATCAAGTCGGCCTCGACTGTTACAAAGAAGGGAGATATAGATGAATATGCGCACCTCATGTGGTCCTGGTGTCTAGGCCTCTCCTGGTTGGGACCGCAGGTATTTTGAGACTTTTTCTCGCGCATGCAGTTTCCATTGCTATCATTTCTTATTTATCTGTGTAGAAGTTTCCCTGGAAGCGGTAGTTGAATTCTACAGGTAATTTCTGAGCTGTATGTCTATCCACCATAGACATTATATTATAGGTTTATTTAGTAATAGAAGAGTTAAGGAGCATCGCACAAGATTTGGCCTAAATCAGAGAGTTCAATGAGCTAGAGTGTCGCAAACTCAAGTGACATTGGACCGTCAAGCCAAATCTCTAAAATAATAGCTGCCGCCAAGTTTGGGGTTTAAGGCTGGGATGATACCTTTCCGCGCCACAAGGCTCCCTGCATCTTTGGTTTGTTGAGTCCTCTTGTACACAGACAGCTTTTCCAAGCACGCGCGTCAGTCTGATTTTAAAAATTTCCATTTCATTCTGGTATCACCGATTATTTAAATCTCAAAATCATAAAAATAAGTAAAATAGTTATCTAATACGAAAGGGGTCGATTTATCTGCATCATCGGATGGCAATCGCCTAATAAATATAGACTTGTGCTCCCCGTAGGGTACCGCCATTCTCAAAAAACGTTATATGGGACGAATATACTCTTTACACATTCTGAGCGATGAACTTTATTGACACTGATATGGATATAGATGAACTCTTCGGAGATGGGGCGGCTTTGAACATGACCCCCGGAGCTCTCGCGGAAGAACTGCATCAACGAATAGACGAGTTGAGGACTGGTAGCTGCTGCCAGTGAGAAATAAATATAAAGTCCTTGCCAAGTCCTGCTGACATTGGTAGGCAAATTGCATGGTCGAAATCTGGCAGCATAGCATCTGTAGCATCGGATGGCTACACTCTTGAAATCCGACATCTTCGCTCCCATCCCGAAGACGGCACATGGGGATTGAGTCGCTCTAACGTCTCCAACTTTAATTCTAGTCAGGATGGTGGTCCAATACGGCATCTTGTCTGGAGCCCTACGGGATCTGAGCTTGCGGTTATTGACTCAGTAGGCCGAGTCACTATACTTGCAATGTTCGCGTCTCTGAACAAATTGAATATCGTGAAAAGCTGTCACATTGACTCTGTAGACGATTTACAGACTGTAGTTGGTTCATATTGGCTACCACTAGCAGCATATCCTCCTGGTCGACCCGTATGTCTGGGCTATGATACTCCTTACAACAAGTAATCTTCTGATTCGAATCATAGACATTTCTCAATGGGCCTGGCATAAAAGAGGGATTTGGTTATCGGTATGAGGCTTCACAAGCGCCAGTAATGGGTCCATGTCATCCAAACCACAACAAGTCTGCTTTCATTTTTGTCACCACTAATGGGCTCTTGAAGCTCCTTTGGCCACAAAGTAACGGGAAATGGGGTGATGTGCACACAGAGCTTGAGAGTATAGTCTCTTCCGACGACTTAATAACTCATGCTGCTATTTGCCCTGATAAAAGTAAGCCTCCTATTACATCGAACATGACTATATCTAACGTATAAAGGCCAGAGTCCCCACGGAATATTAATGATAGCCTTCGCAACTGCCTCGAAGCAACTTCGCACAGCTCGTGCTTTGATTGATTGGAATATCCCAAAGACGGAAAAGTTACCGGCATCACTTCATACTTTGAATCCTACGATAAGAACTAGACATCTCGCCGTAGCTAATTGGGCTTCCAAATCTCCTTCGAATCTATCAAGCAGCACTGATCAGGACCTGTCAATGACTCAACTATCATACCTCGAGTTTTTGCCACCAGTCGCTGATTCAAGTACTAAATTGACATCGCCGATTATTCTAACCGTTCGCTCTTACTTACCAGAATGTGACTCTCACTTCAATTCTGAAGTGCATACCGTCTTCGATCAATGGGAGGTACGCGAGAAGTCACAATCACTAAATCCTGCTTTTGAGCAGTTAGGCTTACAGCAAAGCACCACTGGAACAGCTCCCAATGTAGGTTTACCCTAAGTTACACTTTCATATCTAACAAATCCAGACGATATCGGTCCTGGAAAAAATTCAAAGTGTCCTGGTTGACAAAATAATAATTGGTCTTGAAGTAATTAATCTAGGGAAGATAATATTTCTCGCTTACAGTGATGGATCAGTTGAATATCGAGAGCGAACAAACTTTAATGAGACATTTAACGACAATGACATAAATAAAGTATGGCATTTGTCGCAAATAGGCTTTGTGTATGCCGAAGAGGAGCCTTGTATGAGCCCCCCCTAATTCTTCTATTAGTCTAACATAAAAAGGCTTACAAGTAGCGCTTTCTCCGACTACAGCTTCTTTAATATACCTAAATAATCATGGAAAGGTAAAATGGAATCAGCTGAAGCATAATCATACTGATGTCGCAGATAATGCGGAGAGAGGTTATTAGGACATTTTTAACCAGAAAAAAATGGACACAAGCTTACACTTTCATAGAAATCTACGCGGCCAGAATCGCCGCTCTATCTATTTTGTGCAGTACTGCGGTCATGCGTAACAGCAATTATGATGATCTATTGGCTTTGGCAGTTCGATATTTATCTCCTCGTTAGAACCCAATCAATTAGCATCGAAAAACTTAATTAAATATATGTAGAACTTGCATACGACTGGCTTATCGAGCTCGCACGCATTTTAAAACTACAGGCGGATTACTCCGATGACAGTCATCATGACTTGCTTGTAAGGAATATAACAATCCAACTATGCCTGAGCATCCAAAGTTCTCTCGGCTTCAAGGGAGATTTCAAACCTCGCGATTTTGGCGGCAAAAATGCTTGGATTATTCTTCAACTACGCAATATTGTTGTTCTGACAACTATGGCTGCGAACCTAGTTATACCTGGAAGCAGCCCCAACGAAAAGATACTTCCTCTTGAAGACCCAGGTTTGCTCCGTCATCTATTGTCTTAACCTAGAATCTCTAATTTGGTCCAGAAATAATAACTGCCCTTACTGGATCAGTCCGATGGGTACTTGATCTTTTGTCATGGCTTATTGATTCGTTGTTATCGCTTCCTCGCACTATTCCTCCTAATGTAAACCTCACTGAAGCTAGTAAGTTATCGCTATCGCATCTTGAGGCCTATCTCTATTTAAGCAACGACAATTCTCTCCATTTACTTCTTGCGTCAACGACACGTGGATTCTTGACTGCCATCTGTCGGCGTCTCCAACACCTCGACTACATAGCTGTCAAGGCTATAATAGTGCCTACCGTCTCATCAGGAAATCACACGCCAATATCAGACCCCTTACGTACTGCATATCGAGAAATCGCTGCCCTCACATCAAGTGCCACAGTGAGATTAGAGATAATATTAACACTTCTTCATTCCGTGTCTTCAACTATCAGAAATATTAATGCCAATCATACGTCGCCTCAAGGTACCCCAGTATCTTCAGAAAAGGTTCGAAATTTACTCGAAATTAAAATGCTATTTGGTGGACCATTTCCCGAGATATTCAAAGCAGTAATAGCGGAATTATACATGGAAGATGGCTTGCTCGAGACGTTACGAGAAGATATTGACGAAGGTCAATTATTTTTCACAGACTTTGGAATTCTAGAATTAGACGAGAATGAGGTGAGTATTAATAAAAAGAGGCGGATGAATATGACAATGGATTGCTTTAAAAAAAAGTGGATCCAGAATCCACCGGAAAGATTAACTGATACCTTGGGTAGTATAGACGGATCGGTGATAGATTTGGATGCCGAAAATTTATGGAAGCGGCCGGCCCCACGGTGGCGAAGGTGCACAAGATGTACAGCGGTCTCGGAAGAAATTTCAATGCAGCGACAATCGGTACAGTGGTTAGTCTTGCAACAGCGGCGCTGCTTCTGCAGTGGATACTGGTGTATACTTGCACCAGGAGAAACAGTTGCTTAAATGATTGAAACCTAACTAGTCAACATTGGAATAAAATGACCATACAACTTGAGTTTGTTAGGTTTAATTAGCTCAGTTTTTTGCTTCATTACACTTGTTGCTGTTTGCATTCTCGAGCTTGACCCTTCAGTTATCCAAGCATACCACTAAGAGCTCTTTGAGCTAATTGTAGACTTTATTGGTTATTTGAATCAATCTCTAAACTTTCCTCAGCAGACGCTTATCTATGGGTACAATAAATTGGAAACCAAGCAAATTTTATTAATTAATCTCTACTCTTATGGTTCCACATTTTTAAAGGGTGGTTGTTTGTATGATTACCTGGGTTTTTTCAACACTTTTAGAAATACTATTGTAAAACCTAGCTAATGATATAACCCAACCAACATTATTTATTACATTCTCTTCAGACCTTAAGTGTGATGTCTCAGGGCAGACCAAGACAGGGCGCACAAATATACAGATGTGATGTGATTGAAGATCAGGATGTTCATGATTCATTAAGTTGATACGAAGCAAGTTACTGCCAAAAAGAGATCGACCCTCATGGCCTCGACAATAGTTAATATTTCCAGATTGATAGCTGGTCGAGAAAAATATGTGGGTATGCTCCCAGATTCAGCTACCTCGTCGTCCTGAATAAGATTTTCTTCCATTGCGTCTTGTAGCTTGTACAGTTTTCACTTAACCTCACACGCCACTTATAGCTCACTACAAAGCAGACGAACTCCCGGCACTGCCCTGAACTCGCAGCACGTTGTTTTTAAATACGGTCCACGAGCTGCCTTTGGAAACTTTGCTTATTTAAGGCTTGAAAAGAGGAAAATAAGACGTGAGAAATCGCATCAAAAATGTGATTTGCTCATTTTCCAGTAATAATTTTGTAGATTAATGTGAGTAGGAGGTATGATTAAATCTTGTAGATATTCAATAAATCCAACTATTATATGATGCTGGTAATAGTAATAGAAGTAGTAATCTTGAAGGCAATATGAGCAGCATGGCGCGGCCATGCTTGACAAGACTGTGTTAGCTACGGCTGATCTTGGGGTTCAGCGGATGACTCCGCAGAGTTTAACATTATACCACCGATCCCGAGTTGATGAATACACTCGCGCAAATTTATCTATCCAATTCGTAAAATAGCAGGTATACTTCTCGCTGCATTCCCAGAACTTCAGATGTTTTGCACTCTTTAATCTTATCATCACTAATTCTCCACCACCGCTCACTACCCTTCTTTGGGCTTTGCCAAATGCCGGTAGCGATTGATCGATTCAAAACCCCGTTTGAATCTGAGCTTTTTCCACTAAGACTTGGGACCTTGGACAAAACTGAACGTGCCCGAGATCTTAACTTTGCCGTTTCCCTTCTTTCAGTAGATTTGTGCAAAACTGACTTTGGAACTTTTGAATCAGGACAAACTTGGTTCGATGGGCTGACTGTATATTCTGGTAGGCTTGATATTGAGTAAGATGTAGAGGTAGGAGAAAGATGTTCAGGTGTAAAGCTTGGAGAACATGAGTCCGTTGGTGGTTCTCCTGATCTCCTAACAGTATTTGCGTGCGGTGTCGATATGCAAGAATCGACAGGAGAGGTTGATTTGCTGTAAATACTCGTGGAATTGAAGGTATTAGGTGTAGAAAATGGCGCGTTTATAGTTTGACGTCGAAACGACTCATAGTGACCAGAATTATGACTCCCTTTGTGACAGACAACACTTGAAAGATGGTAAAATTTTTGATTTAAAAGGCTACCTAGCGGAAATTGTTCAGGAAAAGAGACTTTTGCCGAGTTTTTAATTGTAGAGTGGCCAGCATCAAAAATAGAGCGTGACAGATGGATTGCCATTATTTTAGGAAATCGAGTAATTCGTATATATCTCGCGATCTTCCGCTTTGGTGCGAATTTGACATGTGGCATTTCTATATTGAGATCCTCCTCAGGATTTTTATCAATTGCCGCCTTTATCTCTTCAATAGCCTTCTGTGATTTTAGCTTTTGTTCATCGGTTTTTGCACGTAATGCGCTTGCTTGTATTGCTTGTAGGGCGTGAACAAGACGACATTTCTCGCACCTAAAGTCCTCAATATATTCTGTTTTGAACATTTGATCGAAACATGAGCTAAGAGTTGTGGAGCTGACCTGCGGAACATTCAATGTTAATGAGCAAAATGTTGTAGTTGTCGGTTTAGGCTTGAAGCCACAAGTTAAACATTCTATTTGAGACTCAGATTCTCCTTCCAGTGGAAATCCCACTTCTGACTCGCCTGAAACTTTACTTCCTTGCACTCCCTCGTTTACATTGGTAACACTAGAGGCTGGAGGTCCAAGGTTCTTAATTTTCGATGCATTGGAATTTTCTTTTTGCACTAAAACTCCCTGACTATTATTACAATTTTCTGATAGTAGATCTACCTTATCTTGGTCTAAAGACGTCTGCTCATCCATCTGATTCGAAGAGATAGGAGCTGACCTAAAAAAATCCCTCACTTTTTTGCCAGCATGATATTCGTCACATAATCGTTCAGCAACAACCTGAAGGAATTCCTGAGCATCCTGCTGCTGTGGACTTATTCGCTGTCTGAAAGCGTCTTCGAGGACTTTGATGAAAGATCCAGCTGATATAGTCTTCTTGTGTATAGGGCGTTCGTTCAAAGCATTTAAAATATCTTTCAGTCCCTGCGTGACAATTCCTAGTTGTAACCCCTCAACTTTCCAAGGTGGTAAGCCCTTCCCGATAGGATCCTCGACAATTCTTGTGTAAAGGCGCAAACCATCCATGGATCTTCTATGGGTTTCTCGAATAAGATATACGCGTAAGTCGCCTAATCCTGCTAGGGCCTGAAGAACAGCATTGATAAAACAGTCGTTTGCCGGATTTGACAGTCCAACGATGGTCTTCTTTCGTGAATTAGTTGAGCTGTGAGTAAAATCACCGTCCAAGAAAAATGTAGGAGCAAACACATAAACTAGTGTTACTGCGGCAAGAGACGCGCCAGCTGCGTAGGTGGCTATAGTGAGTGGCTTATCGGGCATGTCGCTCAGATTAAATCAGTCTAGAGTGAGATTGGAACTAAGGAGTGTTACAAATCAATTTGGCACCTCCATGGTAGGCGCCGCCAAGCTGGTGCTATTCTATTTAGTTTTGTATGGAAACAAACGCCAATTGGAATTGATAGAAACTAAGTCTTTTGCGGTATATCAAATGTCGATATAGGTTGGATTATGAAAAGTGTGCCACAAATTGGATAAAACTGAACGCGATAAATTCGAAGATACCTCAAACACTTAGTCGAGATGATTTGATTCGCGATGAGTCTAGGACAGGAGCTGAGCAACTATTCTGTGTTGGACAGATCTGATTGTTGGAGGCGTGTATGACTTTGGACTCATTCAAATGACTAATCACTGCAGCAACTAACTGCGCGGATAAGTTCCCGGGTGCCCATGGGCTTGGAAGAGACTTGGGCATAACTACGGTAGATACACCTTCTCGCCCTGTTAGAGAGTTGCAGCAAATTAGACTACCAGTATTTTTGAGTTCCTGCTCACGGGAAGTAACGTCATAGCTGGATAAAAGATCATAGATTGCAGAGAATACAGTTTTGTGCACAGGTAAATTTTATAAATCAATTGAGTGAGTGTGGCTCTACAACGAAGTCGTAGGATTACTACTATTTGTTTTTATTTTTTCATTGTGTAATACGGTAACTAGGTATGAGATATTTATCTATATATATATATATATATGGATAATTCTAGTCCTCCTAACACCATACAAATATCCAATCCTTCAAGGTTTCCAACAATACTCAGTACTGTGTATATTTTGGATAATTCAATTAGTTTCAGAGGTACTCATACTCTGGATTTTACTTGCAAATACCACGATGAAGTATGTTTGCATACACTGGACGGTCGTCTCTCCCCCGCGAGTACTTACCAATGCAACATTCAGTCACTTTGATTATCCAAGCATATATTTATCATCAATCCACACGAGTACTACGATAAATGTGGTATAGTCTTTCCGGATTCTGACCGGAGATCTCCAGTCTCGTGTAGGATATGTGATCAAGCTATCCAGACTCTACCTAGGAGACCAGTTCAGATGTTGAGCCACCGCGTAATATAGTCATGACGAAGTACAATTTGTCGCCTGCTCAGTCGCAAACGACATCGGATAACGTCCAATGCCTAATTTTAAGAACTTCTTAACAAAAATCAAAATCTTACCCTTTTCAATATTGTTTCCATCCTTGACGTCATCCTTTCTCGAGTCTCTGTCATCTTTCATGCCAGTTAAATAAGTCCGTTCCCAATACTTGTAAGCAAAGTTAAGCTTTCTTCTAATATTTTTCATATTTTCGTGGGCTTTGAAATGGAGGCCATATGAGACCTACGACCTACTCGACAAGAAGTGTGTGCATAAAGATCAGGATGCCGCAGATTTTATATGTTGATTTAGTAGGGGTTTAGTCGGAATCAACCCTGTTGGGATTTGTCAGGTTTCTGGGTACATGCCCTAGGTCAGGCGAAGTGTATTTGAGATAGAAGAAAAAGATAACTAAGCAAAAACAACTTGATTCTATTTTTTCGGAACTGTAGATCTATATTTACAATGGACCATGAACTTAAAGAAAATAGAAGACCTGATGATGATAAAGAAAATTTATTCGTGACGGGCACAAGCTCTGCACTCAAAGTGCACGACACGGAGAAGACCAGCTTCTCCAGCGACTATATAGGACGATAACTCAGTTAAACATTTAGACTGCTCATGTAGTGGGTGCATTCGCTGATACCACTCGAGACCTTGGTGCTAGGGACTTTTGTGGATCCAAAGTAGGTGCCTTTCATGTATCCGGGCACCTAGCGCACAGACCACATAGAGCTGTAATTTAAGACTATTTGATATAGATTAGTTATTCTTTGATAATATATATGTTATCAATTTTCTTTCTTCAGAATCCACTGTATCAGACATTTAATTGGTTGAGGATCTAATTGCCTTGCGATATCCGGAATTCTGAAAATTAGGAAGACAAACTTTCACCCTTCCCTCAACCGTTAATATCCACCAAAGGGAAAACAGGAAAAACCTTTGGCTATCCTAACATGCCTTTTCCATCTTGTTTATAGCTGCTGCGCGAGATATGGCCTCACAGTCCTCCCTTTATCGAGTGAGGTAGGTGTCCAGGCTACCCAGACTTTAATGCCGGGAGATGACGACCAGGAGGCGGACCAAAACACCCTCCATCGTTGCCTATTTTTAGAGTGTCGGTTTCACTATCCAAAATCGCTGCTTCTGCACCCACAGAAAATCTTAAGTCGAAGACACTCGAAAAATGTGCGTCCCAGCATGCCCATTTGTGACCTTTTCACTCGTTTAAAAGACTTGACGATGCAACTAATTTTAGGTCATTCTCATTGAGTGGTGTCGAGTGAAAAAATGTAAAATGCATAAAGTACCTTTGCAAGCTTGCGAGGCTGACTATAGTTTAAGTTAGCCCTTACTAGCTACAAGACATGCTACTTAGCTGTCATTTGCTACTCATCAATCAGCCTATGTATAGTGGTCTAGTATTAGGCAAAGTTATACTTGTTGTAATTAGGGGAGTAACATGACTGCATTACAATAAACTATTCACATTAGAATAATGTGCACATACGCTATGAGATATGATTGACCTGGATTATTACTCATTGGTATGACATTTCTTTTCATATATATATATATATAACTATCTTCTCTACTGTATTAGAGTACAAAAGTCTCAGCTGGATAGTACTTCTGACTTCTTTCGATAGTTCGCGGTGCATGGCAGGTAGGCCTTGGCCCAGTTATAATATATCGGGCTTATTTAAAAGTATCGGCACGTCGGGTATTTGATGTAGACTCAGCTGGCGAACATGAGACCTTACGGTTGTTTTGTTTTATTAATGTTGTCCTAAGCTAATTTTATTTACCACAATGAGTCAAGGACCGGTGGAGCCGGTAAGGATCACTGTATACAGACCCAACTCATTCTAACCGCGTTAACTTCCACATAAATTATGGTGTTAACAGCAAAAATAAAATCATAAACAAAAATTAAAAACATAAATCAAATTCAGAAGAAATCCCAATTAAGTCCGGATCCCGCGCTTCTCGCCCGTTCCCTTTCCTGTCACATCTTCCAAGTAACTTTTCCTGATCTCTGCTGAGTGCGAAAGATGAGTTCGCAGATAACCTGAATTCAGCCGGTATCCTGCTCTATAATTGAAGCTGTCGTAAACTTCACCGAGGGTTGCTGTACCCTCAGACTCCTTCTTCGGATTCCAGTACACCAAAACCCGATCCCTCCTCCATGGAGACGTCTTTCGCAGAGGCAATCATCTCCTCCTCGACCTTTTTGGCTCCAGCTTTGAATCGAGCAAATGCCGCATAGTGTCCTTGCTCGACTTGGCGAATGACCACCAGCTGCTCTTTAGTCACCGGTCCCGAATTTCTGGGTCTAGCTACGCAGTACTTAGAATCCGATCGGTGGGGTCCCCCACAGTTTCGACAACGTGTGAGGTCTTTGCACTCTGATTCCGAGTGCATATTAGATCCGCAATTCCAGCAAACTCGAGCGCGGGAACAGCCGCTGGTGGCGTGAAAGCCACGACATCGGTTGCATTGTTGTATTTGTCGGCGGGTTCGGAGGAGCTTAGCTGCTCCAGAGTCGTCGAAAGGGCGGAATCCAGGTCGAGGTGCGGATTCTCGGGGAAAGAGCGTGTCAAATTGGAGCGTAGGCGTTTGACCTGAGGCGGAATAGAATGGCAAGAAGGGGTCGGATGGATCGCGAGAGATGACTAAAGATCTACTGGAGATAATTTGGAGAACTAAAGGTTTAAAAATGGGTAATATAAGTGTCTAAAGAGTCTAAAGGTACGAGCAAATACTAATGGTGACTAAAGGTGCTAAAGGTAACTAGAGGCGACTATAGGTGACCAGAGGTGATCCGAAGGTGGTGGTTATGACAGAAGACAAAGCGTAAAGAACTCTATGCCTACAGACCAAACCATTATATACATACCTGCCTTCCTTTCACTAGCTCATCATAACATAGACCTTAACATAATATCAACATGATACCATGTGCCAAGAACTGTCCTGTTGTCATAGCAACATATGAAGAAAGGTAAAATTATATCCTAAAGAAAAGATCGGAAGAGGAATCCTTACAGAGCGCTTGCCAATTGATGTTGGGCGCCCCGGGTTTGCTGGTCCCGTGAGGACGAACAAGAAAAGGAACTGAATTGGTCACTCGCGTGACTTCATCGGCAACCATCTTTGCCGTCACGGCGATTGGGCCAGCAAGAGTTCGAATTGTCTCCAGAACGGTGGCAATTTGCATGGCAACCAGATTTGATGCTGGTTCCAGTTTTATTCCAGATTCGCTCCGTGATATGGAGGAATCTAGGAGCTCTTTTCGAGCGAGTTTATCCTTTGCGGTTATTGCAAAGCCGGTCTTTGCCCGCTGAACCAACGCGATATTGTTGGCAGCGGTTCCCAGCGCCTGAGACACCGCTAGCCTTACGCCAGCTGGGGAGAGGAGACGGTGGGGATGGTTATATTCAAGGCGTAGAAAAAGTCGTGAATCGACTTTTTCACTGGAGTTGGCACTTTTTGCTTTCTGGGCGGGCGTTGCTGCCTTTTTTGTCGATGGCCCAGCGCTGCTGACCAGGCCTGCCCGAGCTACGGTGGACCAAGTTGTCTTTGGGGCCGGAGCCTGGGTTTTCGTAGGGTTAGGTACCCTAATTTCTGGAGCCCTCGGTGGGAGAGGGTTGACGGGGCGAGCAGGAAGGACTGGTGGTGTGCTTCCTGGACCGGATTGAACGAACTGGCCAATAGCCGCTCGTAGGTAGACTTTTATACTGACTACGAATTCTTTTTTTCGCCGATCGATAGAGGCGAAAGTGCTGCTTCAACACTATTTATCGCAGTCGAGTAGATGGCGAGGCGGGCCGTAATTTGCGTTGACCGTCGCTTTTCGGCCTCCATCACTGTTTGCAGCTCCGGAGGTAGCTCCATTGCTGGTGTCGATGCTGCGATTTTTGAGGCTGGCACAGTATTTTTTTCGGCAGACGATTCTAAACGTTCAGTCGTTCTTTCTCCGACGACCTCATTTCCTTTCCTGGGGCTGCTTGCCTCGGGGGCCAGATCGGCGGGTATCGCGGTCTATTGACCATTTGTTTCTGTTCTGTTCTGTTCTGTTCTGATCGGACCAGAATCAGTCATCTCTTGATCAGGAAGGGTGGAAGACTTCCCTGAGTCAAAGGCCTCACTCGCAAACAAGCTTGATAATTTTTGCGCGAGGCCAGTAGGTTTTGGACACATGTGTGTCCGTTCAAAGCCGACAGAAATGGTCGACTTTGGTCGTTTGCTCTTCATTGGAGGCATTTTGGGACGCCTTTCGATGGTCATCAACACGAGAACTCAAGCACAGGAATAATCGTGAGAAGGGAAAAGGGAAAAAGTAAATTTTCGAATTTCTCGAATTGTGAGTTTGTTTGTTTAGATCCTAGGTCTAACCCGTTATCCTCGGAGAGTCAAGGACCGGTTTTCACAGCCAAGATCCTATCTCTGATAAACCCAACTTGATCCCACCGCTTGAACCACTACACAAATAGTGGCTAGTTTAGAATTCGTACTCGTACCAAAAAATTCAACCTTTAAAAACCGAACTCCTAACCACAAAACTATCCAGCCCTGTAGATTTACCAATCTCTGGTTCGGAAATAAATCTCCTCGACTTGTCTTCCTTCCTGTCATATCATCTGTATGACTAATTTGTATTGTCCCCGATGAGATCAGAAGACGAATTTGTAGATGGCAACCCAAAACAGCAGGTTTCCTTCTCAAAGTTTTTGAAAAATTCGTGACACTTTGGCCCGAGAAGTTTTTGGATAAAGCTACTATGTGACAATCTCCCTCTGAGTCGACGCGTGACGTGAGCGTGTAGTCGACAGTGAATAAAATGGGTAGGAGTGGTTTCCTCCCCACAGGTGCACTCCATTAGAGCGTCCGGATTGTTGAATCGGCGATGATGCGCCGCGAAATTGCCATGGCCCGTACAAGCTGCAGTCAGATTTCGGAGTAGGAACCTCGAAAGTCCCAGCTCAGGTGGTTTTCTTCGTCGCATGAGCAGGTCGAGCTTGCGATATTTGGGCGGGCAAGCTTCGTTCCACTACTTGTCGAGCAATGCTTGCCGCAAACGATTCATTCGTCGATGAATAAATGCCAGAGTGATGGATTCTGTCCGCACTTCTGCGCTAGGTAGCATCCGTAGACCAGACCTGGCGGCCGAGTCGGCTTCCAAGTTACCCTGGATTCTTGAGTGCCCGGGAACACATTTAATTATCACGCGAGCTGATTTGGACAACTCCCGAAATTTCCGTACTTCATTGAGGCTTGTTGTGGACTTGCCTGTCTCAAGTGCGTTTATCGCCTGCTGACTATCCATTAGGAGGTAGACTCGCTTTGTCGCGCTCTGAAGTCTCAATGCTGCTTCAAGAGCCTTCCTTGCCCCGGTGATTTCCGCATCTAAAGCCTCCCCCCATGCCTGATGCCACTTCCCGTGAGCAAAGTCTTCCCGTTCCTCTTCAGAACGAAACCCCACGCAGAGCGTCCATTCCCTTCCGATGAGCCATCCGAGTAGGCACAAATTTCCGACTTCGACACATGGTTGATCCATTGTCTACATATCTCAGTTTGCTCTTTTTTAGATCCTGCTTTTGATAAGTATGATATTGGCGGCAGTGGTTCCGCACCCTCTGCTCCTGGTAATTGTCGGTACTGTTAAATGACAAGGTGTGTCTAGCTGCTACAGGGGCAATCCGAGTCAGGCAGAGTCAAACACATGAGTCGCGTCAATTACGCTATTCATGCAGATCAGTCGCGTGGAGGAAAATTTGTACTTAGGAGTCTGGCTGTCTCGATCTTAGTATACTTTTAGTTAACTCGAATATCTGATTCTATCTGACCTCAATCCACTGTGCTAATTCCATCGTCTTCTATACAGTCATACTGCGACAGAAGTCCTCCCAAATTTAATAGGTTATGACCACCGGTTTGCCACAGGT